CTTTATTTCATTTATTCATTTTTATGTGATGCTGAGGATTGAACCCAGTCCTCACATATGGGAAGCAAGCACTCTGCCTGCCACTGAGCCAAAACCCCAACCCCAAAATATGTTTCTTAAATCTCAAAATTGTTTCCTGATGCACTACCTTCTCTTATATGAAGGGCACTCACCTTAGTCCTTTCTCATGGCTTTTGTTCCAATCATCCACATGATGGGTGTCCTGGTTTTCATGTAAAATAGAGGAGCAGGAACCATTTCTTTTGATTCTCACTATTTTCTGTTCATTGGATATTTTTTCTCCATTGTTATCTTGAAGAGCAACTAATTCCTTAGTATTAAGTAGAGACTCAAAACCTGAAATGAAAAAATAAAACAAAATAAAGTTACCTATGAGCAAAGGACTTTGAGCAGTGCAGCTGTTTCAGGACTTCATTATTAATAGGCACAAGGGTCAAAAGTAAAACAGTTCACTAAAAAATATTTCCATGAAACCATAGTATGGTAACATTACCATAGTATGGTAACACATGCTTGTAATCTGAGCTATCTGGGTGGCTGAGATAGGAGGTTCACAAGTTCAAGGACAGCCTCAACAACTTAGACCCAGTCTCAGAATTAAAAAGGGTATGGGATATAGCTCAGTGGTAAAGCACTCCTGGGTTCCTCAGTGCTGAAAAATAAAAAATAGTTCTATGAAGAATGACAGTGATGGTAACACGACCAGTAGAAATGACTGGGACCAGAGACATGAAAAATTGTGCTCCATATGAATCAAAATGAATTCTGCTATCATGTATAACAAATTAGAACAAATACATAAATAATTTTTTTAAAAAGAAAGGTTATGTTAAAATTTTTCTGTTAACTTGATATTTCATATTAGTATAGAAAATATATTAAAATTTTTCATTAATAATTTTTAAAAAATTATTAGGAGAGGAAAACAGAAAGGATAAAATACACATACCAAAATAAACTTAAAAAAGCAAATATGGAGATCTTTGCCAAGATCAAGGAAAGTATGAGAGACAGATAAACAGTCAAAACAGTCCTCTGAGGCATCTGTGGGTAATGAGCCTCCTCAGACAAAAAAAAACTTTTGCTTTATTTCTATTTTATTTATGTCTACTCCCAGGCCAGTTTCTCCCAGGGATTCTTGCCTTCCTGGTGCTGCTCCATACAGATGCCCTGGATAAGTTCTGTCTTCACTGTCTGCAGTTCCTCCTCTTGTTCCCACTGGGAGATCAGATTGGGTGTGAGTAGTGGGTACCCTGCACAGGAGGAAAGGAATATCATGAGGAAAAGCAATGAAGAATCACAAATGTCTTTCCATAAGATTGGGTCAAACTTTGGTCTTCTAATACTCTAAAGACAGAGAAGGATGAGTTTAACTGAAACAAAATGTCAAATCCATTGAAGAAAAAAAAAAA